CCATTCTAAACAAAACTAAAAGGCAAACGACAAGGCTGGGGAAAATATATGCAATAAATACGACAAAGGGTTGTTATCCTCAATATATAAAGAGCTCATATAAGTTGATAAAAAAAGTATTAAAATCCCAGGAGAAAAGTGGGCAAACGACATGAATAAGTAAATAGCTAATAAACACATGAAAAATGTTTAACTTCACCAGTAGTCAGGGAAATGCAAATGAACACAACGCTGAGCCATTGTTCGCCTATCAAATTAGGACAACGTTAAAGGCTGGGGAAGGCTCAGAGATCATTTGGTAGTTTTCCAAGAAAAAATAAGAGCTATTTCAACTTTCAATAAATCCCTACCACCTAGAGGAAAAATCCCAGGTCTAGTCCTTGCCTGGCTCTCCTGGCTCATCTCCCAACATGTTCTGCCCCCCGCCGCCCCATCTGACACCCGCAACAGTAATCTCCTGAGCACAGCAAGGAAATCCCGCTGCACACTGCCCTTCCTGGGTCCTCTGTCCCTCTCTGCTTCCACCTTCTCCCACCCACCCAATCTTCTCCCTGCTAACGCCTACTTCTTGACAATTCTGAGACATTGCCACCTTTGGGAAACTCTCATAAGCCGGGTTGGGTGCCCCTGTGCTGTGCTCTCATTACACACCTTCCTTACTTAGCACTTACCGCATGATACTGAAAATGACTCTATGGGTTTTGTTCCACCTTAGATTGTATGCGCCTCAAGAGAGGCATTATATTTTTATTCATTGCTGTATCGTGGAGATGCTCAACAGATGACTCTTGAACTAATCAATCATGTAATAAATTAATTATCCCATTTTGCCCCACAAATTTTTGCCACTACTCACTACTCTGGTAAATGCACGCTTTACTTAAAACGGATCAAATTAAGTCATGTTGGATGGAGAGAGTACCTCACCCATGTCCCAGCCCTCATTTTAGTACCCATGTACTATCATCCTGTGGGTTGTAACCGATTAGTGAGCCATGAAATTAATTTATGGGTCACAACCGTCATTTTTTAAGTGAAAAATATTAAAACTAGAATAAAATGGGATGACACTGGTATCTGTTACTCCCTTCCCATCATGGATTCCCCCGTCCATCCCCGCCCATCCCCAGGCAGGCAGGAGTGTTTGGTTGAGGACGCAGGTGGGGAGTTGAACTTCCTGCTCTGATTCTTCCTAACTCCAGGAAAGCTACTGATCTCCCTAGGCTGTGGTTTCCTTATCTGTAAAACAGGAATGATAAAAACACAGATGGGATGAAACAGCAAGGACCCAGTTATGCCACAAATTCTTAAAACTCTGCTCATCAGCTTTTCTGACATAGAGATAGCATCAGTATCCGCCAGAAGCCTCCAGCACTTTCTGTTCTGATGCCTAGCCCCTCTTCCTCCTTCCTAACCAGTTGTCCATCCTGCTTCGACCATGAATGAGTCACGAGCCCCTCAGACTCAGGGGGGAAACAGGTATTCAGTGGCATCAGGCAAACTTATGGGCCCTGGAGCCTAACGTCATAGGGCATGAAGTAAATGACTCTTTCGAAATTGCAAATCTGACCTAGTCACTCCCCTGCTTAAAGCCTTTCTATGGTCCTGATTATGCTTAGATAAGGCTCAGGCTCCTCAATATGATCTATAGGGTCCTCCATGATCTGACACCCTGTCCATCCCACACTCCTGCCTCCGCAGTCACCTGCCTTTCTCAAATCAGCCATGCTGCCCTGGCCCTTTTCTGCGTTGTCCAGTCTGCCCAGAACACCTCTCAGTCCCGTGACAGTCTCGACAGGGGCAACTGTTCCCCCCCAGGTCTCTTTCCTGACTCCCCCACCCCACTGCTCTGCACCCTCCATCACTACATTGCCCCAGCTGAGGTTCAGTCTGCTGCTCATTTGTCCCTCTTGCTTCCTAAGGATGGGGATGGTGCCTTCTGTTCACAGCCCCAGCACCTAGCACACTTCCCCCCAGAGTGAGCAAACAGGACATGCTTGTGGGAGAGAATGGATGAGAAGGGGGGTGGAGGATAGAGGGACGAAAGGAAGAAATAGATGGAAAGCCTTCATTTGACACCTTGCCAAGATGTCCCAGGTCATAAAGCAATGCAGGGGCTTGGGGCTGTAAGTCATTTCTAAAGATCAGGCTTATGTAGGCACACAGAGAATAGTCTCCGGAGAGAAGGAACTATGGAATGAGGCAGGTCAGGGTGAGCACCCGGGTGAGCTGGATGCCAGGAACACGCGCTCCATCTGGAAGATTTCACAAGCTGGAGGAGGCTCCCTGGGCCATGCTCTGGAGGAATGTGAGCTTGAACAATCAACCCTGGGAACACTGATAAGAGGCCAAGAGTTTTGACTGTTTTCATGTGAACATACTTGGGGTAGGGCAGGGACAGGGCTGGGCCACTCTCCCTATCACAGTGGAGATTCCAGAACTTTGGCCACTCAGTTCCAGAGCTTATGAACAGAGACCTCTGCTTGGGTAGAGCTATGGTAACTGAGGTGCTACCTCTGGGTCAACTGCCTCAGGGCAAGGGGGAGGCAGGGCTTTGGGGAGAGACGCATTAATAGTGGCTAATGAGTACCGGGCACGCAACCAGGCATTTCACATACACCACTTCATTTGATTGAAATACCAACCCAGTGAGGTAGGAAGCAGCCTTGATTTTATAGATAAGAAAGCTAAGGACCAGAGAAGTTAAGTAACTTGTCCAAGCTTACACAGTAGATGACAGGGCCCAAATTTGAACCTAATTCTGTTTGATTTCAGAGATTTTATTCTTTTCACACTTAGTTCCTCTCCCTGAGTAATTCCTTCTTCATTCAGAATTTGAGTCAGGGTAGGAGGGGGTGCATGTCATGGAAGATCTACCACCATAAACAAAGATGCTAGTGAACTAGGGACCTGGGATGTGTCCATCCTCTGGGAAACCACACCTGGCTGGATCCCCCGTGCTCACCAACCAGACTGTCTAGAGGAGGAGGGTAACTTCAACCAACTCCCAAAGGAGCCAAGAGAAGTAGGGCTGCCCCCCTCCCCCTCCAGACGGCTCTTCTACCTCAACCAGCACCTACCTTGTCCAGAGACCTCTTATTTGTCCGGCACTGGAGACAAAAGAAAAACTACAAAGCAGCAGAATCAGAGATCCTACAGTCCAGGAGACGCTTCCCGGTGTTCGGCAACCTCTCCCTGCAGCAACCCCAAGGCTGGGGGAAGGTGCCGGGACTCGCTGGGGCTCACAGAAGGGAGGTGACTCCAGACGTGGCTCCAGGGATGCTAGGAAACTTCATCCCCACCCGCCAGGCCTGGTGGAGGGTATTTAAGATGCCAACCTGCAGCTGCCTCTCTGGCTTAGGGCTCTGACGCGGGTTAAAAGGCAGGGGCATTTATAACTGTGGCAACCATCGAAACCTTAATAGAAAGTGGTTTCTAATCTGGTTAGGAATGCAGATTTTGAAAGAAAGGGGAAAAACATAAAAACAGGAGGATTATGGATGACTCTTTGTGGAGGCCACAAATAGAAAAGTCCAAGTGGCCTTGTGGACATTTCCTATTCACAGTCTACCAGCAGGACGAGAAAATTTGAGACACTTAGCATGTGTTCAGAGCTGACGGGAACAGACGATCTAATAAGGCAATCTAATAATCCTAATAAGGATTCCTGTCATCAGGAATCCATCCATCAGTCCAATGCTAGCTCACTCCAGCTTTCTGCTCCTGACTCCATTTCCCTGGTGGGAATGGTATACATCCTGCTGGTCAGAAGCATCCTGCTTTCCAGGAGAGAACGGACTGTGCCCAATAACAGTGACAAACGAGGTCCTGATTTTGGACTTGGGAATATGGGTTCCTGGGTCTCTAGAATCAGACCGACACATCTGCTGACAAGTCAGGGCAGAGAAAATGAAGTGGGACCAGACATGGCTATCAGAACTTGCTAAGCAGCACAGCATATGAACCAAGGCAGCCCCCAAGCCAGGGCCCTCTCCCGAGAGCAAGGTTGGCTCTGAGATCCTAGGAGGAAGCAAAGTACGGCAGTCTCTCCTATATGCTTATGACAGCAATCATGCAATTTGGATGTACATCTGGATTATGCCGTTGTGATTCTGGGTCCCACAGAGGTCTCCAGTCATAAAAATGCCCCTCATCTTTCAATACTTGCAGAAAAAACAAATCTCAAAAGCAAGGGGAACACATCCTTCATGGATGTCATTGCTCATGTGGAAACTACTTTATGGGGGTACTTCTGCCCCAACTCTGAAGGGTCTTTCAATATCTCCTTTTGGGTCATACATACAAGGTATCCTCAGGATTCTTAGGCTCTCTTCTTCCAACCTCAGTTCTCAAATGCGTCCCACCCCACCCCATGCATTTGAATTTGACTCAATAACCACTCACTCGACAGAAATCTCAGTGTAAGTTTACTGTCCTCCTAGTGGTAGCTAGGTAGAATTGCAGGCACAGGGACAAAAAGGGAAGGGGTTCACTTTCAAAGCCAAACCTGATAAGGGGATGGGGGGACCCAGATGCCTCAGGGACCAGGCAGACACTACAGATAAATGAACCAGACCAGGCGAGAGAGCACCAGCCCTGTGGAAAGAAGTAACTCCTACTGAGTTCCAGCTGATTGTCTTCTGAAAATGCATGTCAGAGTTGCCTTAGCTTCGGATTGTCTACGAGAGGCCAGAGACTGATTTTAACGTGTAACCTTGTGATTTTTATACGCTGGTTCAATTTTCCTGAAAACACTAGGTGAGCTAAATAAAACAGACGCTCCGCCAGTTTCTCAAGCTCTTCTGCACAGAGGGGACCTGTCGTTTCCCGTAACTGTGGTGTTGGACTGCCACTCACCAGCCACCACTGGCAATTGCAATAGAGGCCACCAGCTACGCACACACAGCTCCAAAGCCTTGGAGAACACCTAACACTACGGGGGCAAGGGGAGGGGGAATGGAAAGCTCCGAGGATCCGAGGAGCCAGCCGGGGACGGCAGCACGCACTAAATGGCCGACTGCTCCTGCAGGAAACCTTCAGGGCCTGGAAGGCCTTTGTCTGTCTCAGAAGCCAAGGCTGCTTCTCGAAGGACTTCCAAGTGTTCCTCAGCAGCTGACAGTGACTGGTCAATCCAATCCAGGCCCCCGGTCAGGTGGCAGGCATTCCTGGTCACCAGCACCAGATGACTGACCGACAGGAGCAGGGCAGTTGTCCTAGAAAAAGCAACAGGATCGGTTTCCCCGGGAAAGGAGGAATTTTGCACCAAAGCCCACACGGACAGATTCTAATCTGGTGTTCTCCAAACGGGAGGCCCTTCGCCGGAAGGCTGGGAAGTAATTAAAAGATGGTTCCATGCTCAAATAAATCTGGGAATGGCTGGTTTCAGCCAGGTTTAACCGAAGCCTTCTCTGGGCCATAAACGTGCATGATAAAGCTCTCAGGAAAGAATACAACGTGCCGTGGCTCACTAACTTATTTAAGACTGGGGAGCCTATTTTCTGCAGCGCACCTATGAACATCTCCCAGATGAGTGTTTTGTGGGACAGCTCGGATCTAGTCAATTGGATGAGCACATCCCCAACTGCTGCCCATTTAAAGACAAGAAGGCTAGACATACCCCTGCCTGGGGCACCCCTTATGGATTTTGAATCAATAAGGCCCCAGGCTGGTTTACACCACTCTAAAAACAAAATTTAATTGAAAACCAAATTGAGGGGGAGTGTTTTCCCAGTATTGGAAGATTCCCCGTAGAATATCATTTATACAGCGAGCGTGCATGATGCATTTGGGAACCTATCACACAGTACCAGCCCATGGACACAGTGGGGCAGCAATAAGAGCGGGACAGAAAAGCCAACCGAAGCAGTGTGAGCTAGGGTCTCTCTGACAATCATCACACACAACAGCTATAGGAAGTGGTCATATACATCCGAGAGACAAAAGAATCTGGTTTCTTTGAATGGGTTTGCATCTGGTAGAGGAACGTAATTTCAAAAGCCTAAGGATGCTCGGTGTACTAAGGGAGGATCGTGAGAGGGGAGGGGTCCCGGGTATGTCCTGTGGAAGGTGAGCACAGCTTGAGTTGACCGGTCCCCTTCCTTCCCCTTGCCCTGCTCAGCACCTGCCCCACCCACAGACTGGGCAGCCCTCAGAGCTGGGGTGTGTCTGCTTCCGGGGTCCAAGGAGCAGAGGCAGACAATGAGGAAAGTGAGAGGGAAGGAAGGTGCAGATAGGACTTAGCGCGGCCAGATGTTTTAGTGTAAAAATTCCAAAATCTAAGACCGGCTCTCCCCAGTCCCAGGTTTCAGGGAGAGCACGGGCCTCTCTCACCATTCACACTGCAGTGAACGGTGCCCAAAGCCCAGGTAGCTCTGGGAGCCCAGCCAAACAGCCCTCTCCACAGCAACCCCAACAGCGAACCTCACAGATGTGATAAAACGGGGAGCTTCCAGCATGAGAAGCCGAACGGCCCCTCCACCACTCTCACCGGGCATCCAGGAGCTTGGGGTCCAACGGAGGGTACATCGATCTCACCACATCGTCCACTCTGTGCGGAGGCAAAACGTTTTCAGAACTTCACTTTCCCTCTGTCTTTTTCTCCTTCCTCCCTTCCTCCCTCTTCTGGTCCCAATTCTTCTCTCCTGATCTTCGAGCCTCCACCTTTGGTGATCCCTTCTCTAACGGCTTTTGCATTCTCAGATAGACTTAAACAGAAAGACTTCTGGTTCAGTTGAGAGAATACTTTGTTTTCTGGTTTCAAGTCCCCAGAGTTTAAAAAGTGTAAGTTCACACATCTGGAATGATGTTCGAGATATGCTACTAAATTAAAGAGGCGAGCTGCGGAACACTATATAAAGTGTGACCGATCCGCTTGCATGAAAATGAGTAAACAAAAGCTAAGGCATGCAAGAGTTGGGTAGAGTGCAGGAACACTCCCCATTCACTAGCGTCACCTCCAGGGATTGGGATGGAGTGGAATTAGGGGTTCCTTCACTTTCCAGATACTCTATCTCTACAGTGTTTTAACTTCTATAAGTATTATTACTATTGTGTTTTTAAAAATGGTGGAACATAGTTATACAGAACACTAAAAAACCCTACAAGCTTACTTTGGGTTCAAACTGCTTCATTGGATTCCCTTTCCATTATGGTACAATTCATGGTTAATTTTTTTTTAAACCAAGTTCAGAAAGGAACTACTATTCATTCTGATTTGCAGGGTTCAAGATTTTCATCCAAATCCTTGCTCCTGGACCGCTTGATAGTCAGGAAGAAAGAATAATGATCCATTGTTTGATTGTGAAAAGCACTTGAAAATAGATGCTCTCCAGTGTTCTTGTCTCGGGGCTGGTGAGGACATGCAGAGGAACGTGGGCTGCTGTCTTCACGGCCCCTTTCTCTGGAGTGCCCTGAAGCTGAAGCCACTGGCCTCGGAACTCACATGCTATCAACACGTTATGTGAAATAAATGGAGCAAGAAAAACAATGGGGACAAAAAAACGGCCAGAAGTAGAAAGACGTGTAAAGGCAAAAAGATAAAGCAAGGACACGGATTGAATTATGGCACGGAGCCTTCCAGAAGTAGTCCAAGGGGCTCGGTAGGAGGGGACAGAGAGCACTGGGTTAGGTGTGCGCTCTGAGCCACGCCACACCCTCCCTCTGGCACCAGGGCTAATCCTCACGGGAAGCACGATGAAGGTCGGCAGAGATGAGCAGCGTGGCGTCTCCACCAACAATGGGTGGCCAGTGGAATGCCTGGTGCTTGCCCAGAGCCTGGGCTGGACGGCCTTCTGGCCAGGCTGATGCAAGTCCTATAGCTACACCCACCCAGGCCCGCTCCATAGAGAGCCAACAACTGTTCTGGGCTGAGTCCCTCCCCTGGATTCTCTCCCTCCCACTTTCTCAACTCACTGAACGCCCTGGACAGAGTTCAAGTGCACCAACTCTCATATTCCTTCAGAGGGCTGGTTCCTGGTGATCTACCCGAGGCCATGCAACCAGGAAACCTAGAGTCCCTGGAACTCACAGCGAGGCCACCATTCGCACCAGGGGTGTGGAGGCACCCCACTGACTGAGAAAACAGCCCGCGCGGGGATAACGCCCGACTCAGGCACATCCACATACCGGCCACCAGGTGGCAGCACAAACTCAGTACCACCCTTCTCCCTAAGAAAAGGGCTTTCTATTTCTCCACGAAGTCAAGCCCAAATGAGGGGGTGTAGTTGTTGATTGCCTCCCACATGGGATTTTGCGGACAGCCTGGAATTTGGGAGATCTGAATGAAGTATGGCTTCACCTCCCCTACCCCCAACCCACCAGGTCCTGGAGGCTACTGGCTGGGCCATGGCTGGGGCAGTGGGTGACAGGGAGGTAGCAAGGAGTGGGTCCCCAAAACTAGTCTCCAATTACAAATAGGGCCGGGGCAGGGCATAGCCAGCAGGTCACTGCATAGAGGGGTGTGGACACCAGTGGGAAATGTGCCTACTGGCCCGGAGCCTGGGAAGGAGGGAAGCAGGCGGCCCCAGCTAGTATGAGGCTAAGGGAGAGGAAGCCACCACAGTGCGATCTGCAGAATGGACTAGAAGCGTCGGCACTAGTCGCATGCTAGAATTCCCCAAAAAGCCGACTGGAGGGGGCCTGCGGGAGGTGGGGGGAACCTTATGAGACCACCCTGGCTTGGTCTCTTCAGTATCTAAACCCTCCTGGATGCTCTGTAAATGTCTGGGACACGAGTAACTGAAGCTGTCTCTGTGGTTTCTTCAAGGAGCCTAGCCCACCTGCCACCTCAGCTTCTGACCCCTCCCTCCCCCTCCCTCACAATCCCTCCCCCCGCCCAGTGGAGTGCGGGAACCTCAAGGCCCACCAGCTCACCTGGGGCTGATCCGCTTGGCCACCACGATGATGTCACTGACACTGGCTGAGGTCTTCATCTTGGCCCCGGAGCCCATTGTCATGGCAACAAGTTTTTCTGTCAGAGTGTGACAAATCTAACACAGCCGGGAGGAGAGAGGTGATGAGGGGTGCCTCGGCCCCCCAAGGGCGTCTGCCACTCCCACAAACAAATATGGCTCCTGCCGTGGGTTCCATCCCCCACCCCGTGGCCCCCAACCTAGTGGGCAAGTTGAAGTCAAAAGCACACAGAGACAAGCGGAGGAAGAGGCAAAAGCAGAGAACGAGGCCCGGTGAGGGGGGAGGGGTGGGAACCTCAGAGCAGGGCCGGCGTTTCGGCTTAGAGGGGTCTAAGCTGAAGTAATCTGTCTAAGAAAAATCATGTGCTCTAACGTCACCTTCTCGTTTCAGGGGAAAAGCCTACTTTCTCTTTCTATTCCTTCACCTCGTGGTTTAGTCTTCCAGAAGGCTAAATCTCTCCAGCAGGGCACCCTCAGAAACACCCTCTGGACAAAGGGCAACTGTTCCCTTGAAGCACATCCTCCAAAAGCGGCACTCAGTTCAACAGTTTTCTAGGGTGATAGTTGGCATGTTTGTCAACAGGACGATGGGGAAAGGATCTTCGAAAAAAGTGGGGGAAACGCAAGACTATGGCATGAGGCCTTTGTCATCATCCGTCAACAGCGCTGGCCAACCCAAAAGCTTTGTTTCCTCCCTTGCACACCTCGGTGTTAGAACCTCAATGCGCTTCTGTCCCTGGCAAGTAGCTTCCATGACCTGCCTCATACTCGGGGCTGGAAAGGAGAGCAGAAAGAAGGCCAAGAGTCCACCCAGGAGAGAGCCTAGGCCACAGGGACCCAAGGGCACGTGGCCAAGCAAAAGGGACGTCAGATCCCAGGGCCTCGCCTTTGATGGGAGACTCTCAGGATGGGCCATTGATTCCAATCCAGCAGGACTCCCTTCCTGCTGACTTATCCCCCACCTCAGCTGTCACCTCCTTCTCTAATAGGCCCTCACAGGGACAAAACCCAGTGCCAGGACCCATCCTAGCTGCGAGACGGGAGTGCAATACAGCATCATTGCTTACTTGCTAGACCTATGTATCTGTAACCGTATCTACACCCAAAGAGCTTCTTGGAATTAAATACTCCTGGACTTGATGACAACAATTTCCTACTAGGCACTCCTCTGACCCCCAAGAGAGACAGCTAAAGGAGAGGTGGGATGAAAGACTTTTTTAGCTTATTTATTTATTTATTTATTTATTTATTTATTTATTTATTTATTTCTAGGCTCCATGCCCAGCCTGGAGCCCAACGCCAGGCTTGAATTCACACCCCTGATATCAAGACCTGAGCTGAGATCTAGAGTCAGACGCTCAACTGACTGAGCCACCCAGGCGCCCCAAAAGGCTTTTTCATATGTTGTACTGAATGACGCTGAAGAAACAATAAAGCTGTCTTTTTGGAAATGTTGAATAATTACTGGACAAAAAGATAAATGTGTGGTTTCCCAAGTTGCTGAGATGAAGAACACAACAATATCTGCAACTGGCCAAATACTTCACTATTATTGTTATTCTATCAGGCAAGAATTGAAAAACAAATGCTAAAACTATAAAAATTACCCCAAACTATAAAACCTAGCCAAAATGCAAATTGGATGCAATTTTCCACCCAATCGTGGAGGCGGCAAGAATTAGGAAAAAAACAATCTGCCTTCAAGTATTCAAGTACTCATGGTTGGGATTTTTCAACACTGATTGTCCCATTCGGCAGACTACTGTCCCAGCAAGAAAGGGCCAATGAGGGACTTTCTAGTAACTGGAGAAGTCCAGACACGGAACTCAACTCGCTGAGCAAAGGGCCGAGCTCTCTGTTAATGAAAGTGCCCGGGGAGGGGGTGAGGAGCCCCGCTCCCCCTCGGCAGCCACACAGACTTCCCCAATGGGTGAAAATGTGGCTAGTGACCACCTACGCGGTCACCGTATTAGGAGGACCAGGTAAGACAAAACCTTTGAAAGGGTGTGAGAGCGCTAAAGTGTTAACAGACCATCCAGGGGGGAGTAGAAACAGTAGAAATTCCAAGTGTCAGGCATGTTTTTAAAAAGCCTCTTGCATGGTTCAGTGCCCTTCCTAGAAAGATCCCTTTCGACAGTCTGTGCACGGGGGTGCTTTGATGACCCCCCCCTTATGTCATGGGAAATCAAAAGTATTACCTTCAAGATGGCAATGCAATGGGACATGAGACCCCTGGGGAGACAAGAAGAATCTGTCAGTGCTTCTCTATCGAGGCCTCCCTGGCTCCCACCACCAACTCTGTCCCCCACCTAGCTCTGACCCACCTGGACACCACCCAAAGCAGGAATGCCTCCAGGTTCAACCGAACAATTCCATGAGCTAAATGAGGAGGCACCTTCTTTCCTTCCCTTTCCCCCACCCACGTCCAGCTGCCTCTTCCAGGTAGCGCTCACTTGTCAAGTTATGCTTTCTGAGCTTCTGACGCTGTTCCCTCCAGCCCAGGTGTCCTTCCCCTTATCCTCAGCCTGGTGACGACCTCACCTTTCAAAACCCAGGTCAAAAGGCACCCATTTTGTGGTAGCCTTCACGAGAGCCCCCTCCACCTCCACATCCCAGGCAGCTCTAGAGATCACCAACGCTGTGTGCCCACGGCACTGTGCGCAGGGACCCGCTCTCACTTCGGAGATACTGTAGTGAGTAGAATTCTGTCTCTCCCACCGGTTTAATATCTGCAGTAACTGCCCCAGTGTCCCACACATAATGCCCCCCACACATCTGCCCAGTGAATGATAAGGGTTCGGAGCAGCATGCAATCCTCAACATGTAGAGGCTCCTGCTGGATAGAGGGACCCCAGAGGGATCCTGAAGACAAAGGCTTCATCCCTGGAGCCTGCGTACCAAATTCACGGGCACCCCAGGGATAACCCAGGCACAGCAGGATGACCTTGTAACGAGTTTTGCCGGACATCTGCGGGCCTCGGTGTTTAGGTCTACAAAATGGGGGCCGGGGGCGGGGGGGACAGACACTGTCATATCTGATTCCCCACCGCCCCACCCCATGCTGGGGGCAATGAGCAGCAAGTGGCCCAGTGCTTCCAGATGCCCAGTAGTGCTTGGCAAAGGAAGCCAGAAAAGAGCACCCAGAATCCCCATGTGCCATCCTCAGGGGAGTGTAGCAAACAAACAGTCCCTAAGGCCTTACGAGGCATCTTCAATCCAGTCTTCGTTCTCCAGGATGGCCTCGATGTGGGGGTTGGTGATGACCACATCGTCCAGTTCTAGCTCAGACGGCTCCGACTGGGTCTCCATGGCGCCAATGAGGTCCACAATGGGCCTGGAAGGAAAAGCCCAGGAGAGTGGTTTCAGGATGGGTGGCTGTTGCTGACCCTCTCCTCACTGAGACCCATGTATCCCCCAGCAGGATGTAGAAAGTTAGTAAGTTAAAGCGCTGACCTCATGTCCTGGATCCAAACCTAACCCTAGTGGGACTGCAAGTGTGGGCAGGACACATGGCTAGAGGTGAGTCAAGGAGGCAGGCGGGGGTGCAAAGAAGAAGAGTGAAGCAGCCTGAGATGAACCACTAAGAGAAAGAGCAGAACCACAACCAAAAATACAGAAATGTATTAGACAAGGCTGTTCCTTCTGCACAAAATAACATCCTTTTTAAACTTATTTTCCTCCTGGGGAGCCTGGGTGCCTCAGTCAGTTAAGCGTCCGACTCTTGCCTCAGCTCAGGTCTTGATCTCAGGGTCGTGAGTTCAAGCCCTGCGTTGGGCCCCATGCCCAGCTTTAAAAAAAAAACAAAAACAAAAACAAAAACGTATTTTCCCTTCAAGCCTACCTGATACTGAGAAGCTGAAGTTCCTGTTACCCAAACCTACCTGGTCTGCAGAATCATTCTCGGGAAGGACTGGAAGGACGTTGGTCTGCATAACCCCACCCCCTCCTCATTCTACAGGAGAAGTGGCAGAAGTAACAGCACCCACTTTATAACAAGGTTCTTTACGACATGAGACGCTACAGCCTTCCGTTCAATAGCAGAGCTTTCCTGGGTCATATAAACGGGCATTTACAAATTATTCACCACTTGACACAGACGCTGATAGGATTCAGTAGAAGGGTAAGAGAAACTAAGGGTTAGTTGTCATGGTCCCTTAGGGGTCCACCAATTAAAACATCCCTAAACGGAAAATAGGATCTTGCTCATCAAATCTATTGCACGCAAAATGCATTATGAAGAAATCTGTGCAAAGAAGGAGACCGTCCCATGCTGGGATTTCACAAAATTGAGCATCTGCTGCTTCCCTGTGTGGCTGGAGTGCAGGCATGGGGTTTCTGTTCCTATGCGTTTGGTTGGATTGTGCTAGGTGAACACGTAAAGGGAATCTCTCCTTAGCTCAGTGACAGAGTCAGACGAGGCTCAGGACATCGCTAAAGCTCCAAGGTCTCTCTTGGAAAGGAAGCCTTCAAGTACCATTTTAGAGACAAAAAGCTGAGCTCAAGCGGCCCAGTGCCAAACTTCTTGGGCCGCTCTCTCCTCCGGTTGCTGGAGGCCCTGGCGGAGCCCACCTCTGCTCCCTGCCCTCCCCAGGCCCACTCACTTGGAATCGTAGTGCTGCAACAGGTCTCGAGGCCGGCAATAACGCTGCCTGCACACCATCACCAAGGCTGCAAATGAGGCCAGGAAGATGGTGGCCAGCACGCCTATCGCAACAATCACCACAGTCTCCATGCTGCTGGGGGGGCTCCCTCTGTCCCCGTCACATCCCCAGCGTGGGCTAAATCTTAGAAGACACAAGGGCAGAGGAGGCCTTCGTAAAGAAGCAGCAAAAGAGAGTGGGGCAGTGGGGGGGGGGGCGTCTTACCTGCTGGGGGTGCATAGAGAGCCAGGTTCCCCCAAGTCACCTGCAGAGACCAAGTTACCTGCTGGGGGCGGGGGGCAGAGAGAGCCTGGTTCCCCTAAGTCACCTGCAGAGACCTGAGGGCCTGAATAGAATCAAAATGCATTTTATGTCCTGCCCCAAATTTGCCTTTTGTTTAATTAAGAGTTTGCCACCTGCCAGACCAGGATGGCCTTTTAAATCTGGACAAAAGGACACATTTTAACTAGCACTATTGTTTCACATCTCCACCAAGTGCATGAAAGAATATCCTCCTAAGAAGGGGAGGATGGCATTTACTGAGAATCTCCTCTGTGCCAGGCACTTTGTGTGTTAACCCTGAAGTAGGTATTAATAGCCCCATTTTACCATTGAGAAAACTGAGGTTCAGGGAGGTTAAGTAATTTGTCCAAGTTTCTGTAGTCAGAAAGTAGAAACCCATCCACTTAAAGTGAGATGGGCATTCACCTCCCTTTTCCTTTCTAAGGAGGGAAGAAGATTCTAAAAATTCTGGAAAGGGATTTGACTGTCAGTCTCAGTGTTGGAAACCCACAACTGGTGTTAAAGTGTTCTTTGCCTACTGCCTGTTTTCACTCAGGAGGTTCTTCCACACCTATTTTAGACTCTGGCAGAGGAACAAGGGCACCTCAGAGAAGTATGTTTTCATTGCAGGATCCTACTTCTGTGCCTTTGAGCAAGTTTCTTCCCCTGTCTGGGCTTTAATTTCTCCACCTGCAAAAGAGGGGCTTTGATCTAGGAGTCCAGGACGATGGACTTACTCTATACTACATGTCTCTGAGGGTCCAAATGTTCCCGGTTGTCATTCAATAAGTATTTATTGGTCATCTGTTAGGCACCAAGCACTAGGCAGGATTCTGAAGACTGGAGACAAATAAGACATGGACCTCAAACCTTGAGGAGGGAGAAAGAGGTGGGCAGGAGGACAAATGTTTGCTGTTCACTTGTCAACCTCTTCCCCAGCTCCTCAAATCCGTGTCTATGCCATATGGCAGGGTACACAGACAAGAGATAACTGTACTTGCATGACATTTTTCTGGGCAAGTCTTCTTCACAGGGCAGGTGGCGTTTGAGCTGGGTTTTGAAGGATGAGTAGGAGTTTGCCGGGTGGAGAGCATGCCAACTTGGTTGGCTCAAAGTGCCAAGGAGGCCTTTCTCAAAGGTTCCACAGAGCAGCTGGTCTACCACCTCAAACTCACTTGCTCGGGAGGGTAAGAAGGCTAGGGTCGGGGGTCTCTTTCATTTCTGTATCTCCCGTGGGGGGTTGGGGAAGGCAGGAGGTAATTCTCAGGGTCTGCCTCAATTTCTCCAGATGTGTGTTCCTCTACATCGTCCCTCCTAAAGGGCTACCTGCTTTAGCCCTTTTTCTTTCCTCCTCTCACTTCTGTGTCTCTGTCTCTGTGTCTCTCCATTTTCCTCTCCAGACATCTTACCCCCTCCCCCTGCGCCATGGCCTCCAAGACCACCCGCTTTGTCTCCTCTCTTCCTGCGGGCATTTGAGTGTGTTTCTCTGAGGCGGACGAGCTTTCTCTGTGTTTTTGCTGCCTTACTCCGGGATTTGTCTGTACGAGTCTTTGTGTGTTTTTCTTCTCTTTGTGTTTCAGGATGAGTTTTTGTCTCTTCCTCTTTGTGTAAGCTTCGGTAGGTCTCGGTTTCTTGGGGTGTGTGTGCGTGTGTGTGCGTGTGTGGTGCGTCCCACCCTCTTCTCCTCTAAATCCACCAGGATGAAAGAGCCCCAAGCCAAGCCCCAAGCCCCTAGCCCCTACCTCCTCCCCACTGCCCGGCCACCCAAAACAGCCGCCCGGACACGCAGGCCGGAGGAAGGGACCCCCACCCGGCGCGGCGCAGGGCTCGCAGGGCTCCCAGGCGCGCAGCTCCAACTTTGCCCAACTTCTGGGCGGCTCGGCTGCGCCGCGAGGGCTCCGCGGCCCCAACAAAGGGGCGGCCGGCCCGGGGCCCCCCTCCTCCCCAGGCATCAGCCCCAATCTCCGGGCGCCGCCCCCCCCGGCCCCCGGCGCGCCCGGACCCCCTGGCTCCCGCGGCACCGGGGCGCGGCGAGGCCCACCCACCTCAGGCCGCGGCCTCAGGACGCATCCCCGGGGGCGCTCCGGCCGCCCGGCCCCGCCGATGGCAAAGTCCGCGCGCGGGACTCGCGGGCGGCTCCTGCGAGCGGGGCATGCCGGGAAGGAGCTGGGCTGTCCGAAGGAATCAAGATAAAGTCCCCGGGCGCCAACCGGCTGTTGGGGGCGGGGGGGGGCGGCGGCCGCCGCATCCAAATCCCCCGCTGCCAGGCGCCGCCGTCCCCGCCGGGCCCGGGGGCCAGGCCGGGGGTTAGGGCGGAGGGAGGCCCTCGCTCATCCACCCAGCAGGCTCTCCCCGAGCCCAGGCCATACAGAGGCAGGCCGCCCGGTCCTTGCCACTACCGTCCCCCCCCACCCCTGCCGGCTGGCCATCCGGTGGGGCTGCGGAGACCGAGCGGATTCCACAGTGGGCTGGTCAGGAAGCCAGTCTGATCTTACACACTGTGGTTTAAATCCTAGCTCTGCCACTCACTAGCTGCGGACAACTTATTTCATTCCTTTGTGCCTTGGTCTCCTCATCTGTAAAGTGGGGCCGCCACTTGTAGGCATGCTCAAACTGCCTGGCCCAGGGTAAATGCGAATCAGTGAGAGCTCTCATTACAGCCTCACCCACACTGGGCACACAGCAGGCCCACCCCAAACAGTTGCTGTGCCAGGGACAAGCATAGAAATACAGGACGCTGGCTGGCTGTCCTGCCCCTTCTGTTTGCACTCTACTCTAGGGACCCAAGGGAACCCACATTATTCCTTCACAGCCCCCACTCTGCAAACAGCCATCCCTTGGCCATCCCTCAGGGGTAAAGATGCCCACCCCAAGAGGTACAGGATACCCTGAAGGATGGAGGTCCACACAGGCTCTGGAAACAGGCTGGGGCTTTTGGGGCAGACTCTTTTTTTCCAGAGTCCAGTGACCCAGGAGGATGCTCTAAAAGGAGGCATGAGCTCTAGATGGTCATTCCCCTTAGCCTTCAAACTCCTAGCCCTGTAAGGAAGAGACAGGACCCGAGTGAGGCCAACTAGAGCCTAGGGCTTAAGGCAGAGACCCAATCAACCAATCTGAGGTCAGTACCAGGGACAAGTACCAAAGGATGAACACTAGGTCCTGGGCAACTTAATGCAGACTCTGCAAACTGGTCACCCCTAAGCCACATGCAGCCCACAGAAGTGGGTTTGTTTTTTTTTTTTCTGACTTACAGTTAAAAAAAAACTTTTTTTTTTTAATTTTAAAAAATCAAGAATTTCACTTATACCTACAGATGTCCACCTTCTCTGGGAAATTCATAAGATCTCTCAAAATGCAACCCCCATTCATTTGGGAGTAACGATAAGTAGGAGAGGGGAGGCCGCTGTCCCCAGGCATGCTCTCCTGGCCCACTACCTTCCCCACTGCATAGCATGCCTGCACATGCATTCACAGCTCACCTGTTTTGTTGAGAGCCTGGCTGAGTGAGCAGCTGTGGTTTCCCACTACTGGCACTTAGGGATGGGAAGGCTGAGGGGTGATTTTGCTACCCTCTAAAGTGCTTTCGTGGAGAAGCCATGTTGGGGAGCCAGAATTCCTATCCCCTTCTGAACTAAGGAGAAGGGGCTAGGGGTCTGGGACTTCAGAGGGAAAGAATGTAATTCACAGGGCAATAAGAATCAGAGATGTTTGGTGATTAGATGTTTGCCTGGCCTTAAAGATGGATCAATCAGATAAAAATTTATCTTTATGGGGTGCCTGGGTGGTGCAGTTAAGTGTCCGACTCTTGTTTTGTTTTTTGTTTTTGTTTTTTAAGATTTTATTTACTTATTTGACAGAGAGAGAGAGAGAGAGAGAGAGAGAGAGATACAAGTAGGCAGATAGGCAGGCAGGCAGAGGGAGAGGAAGAAGCAGGCTCCCCATGGAGCAGGGAGCCCGATGAGGGGTTCAATCCCAGGACCCTGGGATCATGACCAGAGCCGAAGGCAGTCGCTTAACCAACTGAGCCACCCAGGCGCCCCCAACTCTTGTTTTGGCTCAGGTCATGATCTCGGGGTCATGGGATCGAGCCCTGCATCAGGTTCCATGCTCAGCATGGAGTCTGCTTGAGATTCCCTCTCCCTCACCCACTTCCCACCCCCCCCAACCCCTAGCTCATGCTCTCTCTCTCTCTCCCTCTAAAATAAATAAATATTTTTTAAAAATTATCTTTACTAACAACCCTTATTCTGGAGAGACCCTCCAACTTAGATTCTTATGGGTAGTTAAGGGAGGGACAAAAGTTTCTCTTGAGCCCACAGGGTCTCAGTTGCCTTCAGCTCAAAATAATCCACATGCCAAAGTGGCACATTGTGGGGGGAGGGGCCTGCCCAAACCCCTTCAGCTCTATCTGTTTAAGGAAAATGGGCTTACAGCAAAGCAGCAACCATCAGAATGGGTGACTGGGGACAGTAAGTGTTTCCATTTCTTGAAAATACTCTGAGAAGAATCGAGTGCTATTTTTGTCTTGGGTGGTTTAGACATTTGGTGGCCTTGAGGTAAGAAGCTAAACTACATGATAAAGAGATATAGATAGATAGATAGATAGATAGATAGATAGATAGATAGATAGAATATTACTCAGTCATAAAAAAGAATGAAATCTTACCATTTGCAACAATATGGAGGGCATAGTGCTAAGTGAAATAAGTCAGTCAGAGAAAGACAAATATATGATTTCATGCATAGGTGGAATTTAAGAAACAACAAAAATGAACAAAGAAAAAAAGAGACAAACCATAAAACAGACTCTTAAATACAGAGAACAAATTGACAGTTACCAGAGGGGAGTATGTGGTGACCCAACCAGGTGGAGGCTGGCTGCGTGGGAATCTGAGGCAGAACAAAGGAGACAGAAGTTTATTGAGTAATACAAGGGAGCTGAGCAGGACAGCGAGGGAGAGACCATCTGTCAGGGGGCAGTGTTGAGGACTGTAGTTAAGGGGGAACGTGAGGAGGTATGGGAATGAATGGTATTTTCCTTTTTTGGTATCTGTGTCCAGGTGTAAATAACCCTTTGGTATACTAGGGCTTATGGCTATTTTTTTTTTTAATTTATTTATTTATTTGAGGGAGGGAGGCAGAGGGAGAGAATCTTCAAACAGACTCCCTGCTGAGCATGGAGCCCAACTCAGGGCTTAATCCCATGACCTTGAGATCATGACCAGAACCAAAACTAGGAGTGGAACGTTTAACCAACTGAGCCACCCCGGCACCCTAGGCTTATGGCTATTTTGAGGTGGGTCTCCTAACGGACCTGTCTGTGCTCAGCCCAGTGGTCACTGTGGCCCTTCTACCTCACTCAGCTTCCAGTGCTCACGTCGGTTGCCTAAAAGCAACTTCTAAAGGGAAGTGGGTGGGGGCATGGGTGAAATAGGTGATGGGGATTAAGAGTACACTTGTCATGATGAGCACTGAGTATTATATGGAATTGTTGAATCACTATATTGCACACCTGGAATATATGTTTATTATACTGGAATTAAAAAAAATGAAGAAGAAGGAAAATAAGAAGCTAAACCACATGATCTCTTGTGGCCTCTTTCAGGTGTCGGGGAGAAAGAAATTTTCCTCTGTTCAGAATTCTTCTAGCTGGACTAAGAATTAAATTCACACAAGACAAATTAACAGGAGAAAATCGAATTTACTTCCCTGTGCCTGGGGAATCCACACAGACATGAAGTTCCAAAGACAGGCAACACGATGTACAGGTGTCATTTTCATGTGTATGTCTTCAAGAGAAGGGTTGGGGTCTGGGGATGCAAAATGAAGGAAGGCTATCAGCCTGAAAGTGAGAGGAGATGCTTGGAACACAGAAATCGCCCTGTTTCGCAGACCAGTTTCTTAGGTAAAAAGAAATCTGTTAATAGCTCTCTTCCTGGTACAGACTCTCCTTTCCGATGTAAATTTAGACAGTTGAGGGGGAGGTAAAGAAATTTCCTGAATCTGCTGGGTTTGGATTGCTTTTAACTCAAAATAATCTTCATGCCAAAGTGGCCCGTCTTGGGGTGGCCTGCTCTAGGCCCCGACACAGGTCTAGGATTTTATGACTCTTGTAGGAGAAATATAAAAGAAAACATTAACCTTGGGGAGTTTGTAACACAAGTAGGAAAGAGTGAAGGGGAGTAGAATTTGTCATCCCAAAATATGCCTCTTTGGCATAAGGATTAATTTAGGCTGATTATTTTTAAGAAATAGCAGACACAGGAGAAGCTCTGAAAACCAACTAAAATCGCCCTTTTGTAAAAGAAACATACATTTATAAGGGAACTCTCCATTTGTTTTGGGGGTTTTGTTGTTGTTTTGTTTTGTTTTTTGGCTGGGGACAATATACTTTATTGATAATACATGATGAGGTAGGGGTCCCCAAGTCCCTCCCCTTCTTCAGGGGGTCTGGGATGGAAACTGTGTAGAGGTCAGGAGATTCTCAGTGTGTCAGGGGATGAGTTGGGGCAAGGAATCCCCAGCAGGGTCTCTCTCTTCCTCTTGCTCTCCCTGGGGCTGGTGGTCCAAGGAGCTCTTACTCCTTAGAGGCCATGTGGACCATAAGGTCCACCTCTTGGTTGCTGAAGCCAAATTCATGGTCATACCAGGAAATGAGCTCGACACAGTGGTCACTGAGGGCAGTGCCAGCCCCAGCATTGAAGGTGGAAGAGTGGATGTCACTGTTAAAGTCGCAGGAGACAACCTGGTTCTCACTGTAGCCCAGAATGCGCTTGAGGGGGCCCTCTGATGCCTGCTTCACCCTCATATTTGGCAGCTTTCTCCAAGCAGCAGTTCAGATCCATGACTGACACATTGCAGGTGGGGACATGGAAGTCCATGCTAGTGAGCTTCCCATTCAGCTCAGGGATGACCTTACCTACAGCCTTGGTGGAACAAGTAGAAGCAAGAATGATATTCTGGGCAGATCCTTGGACATCATACCACAACTTCCCAGAGGAGCCATCCATGGTCTTCTGGGTAGCAGTGATGGCACAGACTGTGGTCAGGAGTCCCTCCATGATGCCAAAGTTGTCATGGATGACCTCGGCCAG